CAGGTGGAAAACTGCTCTTAATTGCCAAAAGGTGATAACTTATTTATTTTAAAAGCGCTACATAATTTTCTTGTTTGTATATTACGTTTGTGATGTTGGAAGGAATCACATGAATGTACAGCAGCTAATTTAATTTGATTACAATATCCCCATACGTTGGTATATTAAAATTTAGTAAATAAGCGCTGGTCCTTATCCACTTTTCTACAGGAACAAGAACAGCTCTTACAAGAGCTTACCCTGGGGAGTATAGTGTGAATATAGCAATCGCCAGAGTGTAGTTAACCCATCCCCCAAGCATGAGCCAAGGCTTCAAGAAAGAGTCAAGTAGTTCTGTTTGATGGAAGCAAGCACTCACAACTTATACAATTCCCCAGGCCAGAGGCACACCCCCTGGACCTGATGGTACGTAGGCATACAAAGGACACAAACCAATCAAAACAATAGAGCAATTTCTGACACTCCCATTCATTACAGCAAAATCCTCCCCTCTGCCTGTGATATAACTACTGAACACAATGGGCTAAAGTACTTATCACAGGCAGGAAAATATACAGTTTTATACAATTCTTATAACTTCAAATTTACACATCACATTCAAATAAATTCAGCGTACTCCAAATACAAACATATGTCAAAATCATACAAATCCCTTCAGTGGTTAAAAAGTTAACTGTAAATCCTTTTTAACCGACTGCAAGCATGGCTTGGGTGTGGTAAGCCAATTATCTCCAAGTACAGAAAATCTCTCTATTCACAACAACAGTAAAAATACATAAAAATACATAATTCCTGTCATACTGAACAGAACCCCCACATTCAACCTATCCTTGGATCTGAGCGCTCAATATATCCAAACAGAGCTCAGATCCCACGAACACAGTCAAATCGTCATGGGGTTTAAGGTCCAATAAGCCCAAACAGGGCTTTTGAAGGGCAATACAGTCCAGGGGCCATAGTCACAGGGCAGGAGGCTGGCAATCAGTCTTCTCCAATGCCCAGTGATGAGGTCGGTTTCGCCACATTTCTCCCCTTTCCCAAAAAGACTAACCAGGTATCTGACCTCCTGTCGGTCAGTGCCTGGGTTAGTCCAACAACCAACCCACAAAACACAATCAGCAGTGCAGCCCACGCGCAAGGAATAGTTACTGTTAGTCCGGATCTCTGGGTTGCTGAGTGGGCAGAGACTAGCGGTACTGAGCCCAGCTGTGAAGAGGGGGTAGTAGGCTCCTCTCCCTGGACCCGGTGCTGCTGCTGGAGGGGGAGACCGACTGTCTCCCCTTTTGATAAACAGTCCTGCTGCTGGGGATCTGGACCGGCTATCCCGCACCCCGGTCCCATCTGCCCCATCTGGGAGAATAAGGTCTCCCCTTTGGGAAATAAGCTGCCGCTGGGGAGAGAGACCAACTGTCTCTTCTTCCAATAACTCGTGCTGCTGTTGGGAAGTGAGACCGATCGTCTCCCCTTCCATTAACATACTCAGCCGCTGGGGAGGAAGGACGGCACCTTTGGCTCCCTGGAAGCCGAAGGTGCCGAAGGTGCTGCTGGGAAGTGCTGGGAAGTGAAACCGACCATCTCCCTTCCAATAACATACTCAGTGGCTGGGGAGAGAGACCAACTGTTTCTTCTCCCAGTAACACAGGCTGCTGCTGGGGAGAGAGACCGACTGTCTCTTCTCCCAATAACTCACTTGGCCGCTGGGGAGAGAGACCGACTGTCTCCTCTCCCAAGGATGCACACTGCCACTGGGGAGAAAGACCGACTGTTTCTTCTCCCAGTAACCCATACTGCTGCTGGGAAGTGAGACCGACTGTCTTCCCTTCCAATAATGTGCTCTGCCCCTGGGGAGTG